TGGATCTACATTGGGATAATCGTTGCATAATCTATTTCGAGTGTGGAATCTATTTCGGGTGTATTACAAGCATATCGATATGATTTAATTTTCCGGCGATAGATGTATACCCATCACACATCGATCAACAAGATATCAACCGTGATTTATGTGATCAACCGTGATTTATGTGATCAGCTATGCGTAATATGTACGTTTTATGTTACACACTATGCAATAAAAATACAAAGCCCAAATATGGGTAGACTTTATTGATTATTTAATTATCAGTAGAGCTGGCACAGCCAAAAAACTGCCAAACTTCGAGACCATGTCTATTCAGTCACGGTCGAGTTACATCGCCATCACGTGACACAATATTTTACTTTTTTCCTCTGTCTCTCGGAAAAAAGATGTATATGTTATCAATATATGTTATCAGTATATGTTATTAGTATATGTTATCCGACTTTTTCTGGCTTTCAGTTACTGCAAAAAGGCAAGGATATTTTCCGAACTTAAATTTGAAATCGATGGTGCAGTAAACGTCTTTATTCGTTGGATATATGCCATCCGTTGAATTTTATCATCATTAATACGAAAGAGCATTTAAAAAAATTTCAGGAACAGAAATTTGGATTGAACCTATAAATATTATTCTGACCAACTTTTTCTTTTCTCTATTTCCCAAACCTTTACACCCGGATGATTTGATTCCACCCAATTCTTTGCCTTTCTCAAATTTGTTTTGTTATCGAAGTACAAGTATATAGTCGGTCCTTCTTTCCTGAACCACCATCCAAATAATTTTAATGAGTCAAAACATTTCATTACTTCATCGTCATTCCATTTTGCAAGCGTTTCACCATCAGTTATTTCAAGGATATAATTTTTTCCCGCAGGATCTGGCCCGTACGCATATGAAAAATGTCGGTAAAAGTCATCCAGGTAGTAAACAAAGGATTTTTTCTTAAGATCACCAGATACCCCTATATAATGAAACATTGGCTTAGAGAAATTATGTGACTCAAGCAAAGTAATATTTCATACCTGATGACCAAAACCAGACTTCAATCTTCCAATTACGATCCAGGGCTCGTGTTAATGAAGGATAATAATCACCATCGCCAGCGATTAAAAGAATTACACCAGGATCATTAATATGGGTGACATCCACTATAGAATTTCCAAGTTCCATATCGACTTTCTTTTCTTTATTTGCGACACGGTCATAAACAGTCACACTAAAGCCTTGTTTACGAATTCGATCCCATAGTGAATCGTTTGGAGGTGGACGAGAGCCAACAATCACCGGATCACTGCCTATTTTTTGTCTTTTCAGTACCGTTGATAGAAGACGTCCATGATCAACATAGAGCTGGTTGAGTTGGTAGGAATTTCTTTGGTAATAAAAGTTTCCTGCTTGTTCAATACGACCAACAGTATATTTTCCTTCGATAAATAAGTTGGAATTGTCCACAAAAACATACACAAGTCCGGTGTTTGATTTTGGGGTGTTTGCTATATGGAGAAGAATTTAGTAACGGCTTATATAATTGAGATGCAAACAAAATCTCGAGTACACTTACATTTTTTGAGATCCGTGATGACATTTGCGAGTACTGTTGCTGGTCCTCCTTTCAAACCATAACTGCGAAAATCCTCTTTGGTTTGTTCAAGGAAGGCCAGACCAGTTATTTTTTCCTTACGAAGTATTGCAAGGTCTTCGTCATCTAGTTTCAAATTCTTTTTTCGCAAATACTCGATTAGCTCCTCGGTTCCATATTCTTTAACTACATTTGCCATCTCGTGAACGGGTTCTTCGTCAGAGGAAACGCTTGAGGGTGAGAATGATTCTGAAGACATCTCTTAAAATCTATTACTGTGCCTAGATTTATAATCAAAGAACTACGGAATCTAAAAGGCGACTTAGGTTTAATAAGTTAGTATGCGGAATCTATCGTATCACAACCGGTTTTTACTACTGTGCCTGGATTTGTAAGCAAAGTACTGCGGAATATATGTTGTGAAACTACGCAATGACAAAACAATTGCTATCGGAAAATTTTATCTGGAACTTAATATAATGAGACAAAATTTTAGTGAAGAACTGTTCGTCGAAAAATGCCAAGAAAAATTTGAAAAATTTTATCCGTAATAATAAATAATTTTTAGAATCACTATTAATTCCGCGATCTAGAATCCCACTTTACTTCGATCTCGCTATAAAGAATATTAACATTAAATTCCAGAAGAAATACATACAAATAATTGATCTTGATGAATCTCGGATGATAATTAAGCCAAATAAAGATACCCCCCTTATCCCACAAAAATTAATTATCGGAAAAAAAAGACCATTTAGGTCTGATTGCTTTATTAGCCGAAGGCTTGCTCACGCCAATACAATAAAAAATACAAAATACATGTGAAGCAGGATAACTATTTATCCGCTATTTTTTGGTAATTTTTCTCGTTCCTCTACCTGCTGAGACACAGTAATGCCAAGCCTATAATAAATGTTATACAAATAATATGATTGCTATGCTGTATAAATATAACTTACCCTCATACGGACCGGTCTTGGCCTTGGGGAACTGGATCAATTTTTACAATAATACAATCATGGGCGCGACCAGGACTTAACCAGTAGCGCAACGCTTCTTCGACGTGATCTAATGTTTCGGTATAAGCCACCTCTATAACTAAATTTGGCCAAGGAAAATTCTTAATAAAAAAGAATATTGAATTACTAGCTTTAAAGAATTCAAAACCAATAAAAAGTACAGAAAGTACATTTCTATCGCTCCCATTTGGTAGAGTTACAGCTGGTTTTTCCGGGCGAAATGATGCGTCGGCTTCTTTTCCACGGTTTATGTCGCGTGTTCCTTTAAGAAATAAAAATTAACACGATGCCACAAACAGAGCAATACGTTATAATATTAATACTTACGAGTAGAACCAAAACCAAGTATTTCTGCATTTGTTCCGTCAGCATTACCGCAACTTTTAATTATCATCTTAACGACTGCTACGATACAAACTTCATGCGGTGTAGAAGGAAATTCATAGATTATGACTTCTCTATTCGACCATTCCCAACATCCATGAATGGAAAACTTTTCTGTACGTTGTTCATATTCTTCTATGGTGATGCCCGTAGCAAGTACATACGGCAAACTTAATAAAACAATTTATATTAGCAACCGGCTTAAAAAATATCAACACCAAACAAGTAAACTTACGCTACTTCTTCCCATTTCGCTTTTTCATTAAATTCTCCCTTATCCCACCACAAGTTTCGGTAATAGTTACAGTCTGGCATTCTTCTTGGAACCGCATCAGTACTATCCCTAAGAATATCGACAAAAGTTAGCGAAAAAAAAGATAAGGAGTAACAATTGCACATATATACTTACGCAGTGGCTACAGAGCTTGCGCTTGTACTTACGCTTATACTTGTCCTTCTTGTTGAACCAACACTACTAAAACTGGTATTTGCAGTACCGGTATAAAATGACCTTTTGATGTTTTTAGAAAGATTGATTAACAAAAGATAAGCCACTTTACAAGAGTCCGATATGGGCAAAACTTTATTACGTAATTACAAAGCGGATCATGCCTTATAATACTACATATAAAAAAAGTACCAAACTTCGATCTCGGAATTCTGCCATCACATACTTTCTAACATGAGATGCGATATTATCCGAACTTAATTTGAAGTGCAACAAGCGATGTCATGTGAGGTTGAGCTTTTGGGGAGCGATGTCAATGTGGTAGACGTGAAGACTAACGGAAAATTTAAGACATTTAGCCGAGCATAATTCTATGTAAAAAATTTTTATTTGTGATTTATATTTCGGAGAAAAGAATGTTATCAAAGCCAATCTCGCATTTTCACTTCGTGAGACAGTGACTTATCTAAAATTTATTTATGCGGACATCAAAATAATAGAGTTACGATTTTTTTCTCCTACAGTAATAGCGAATTTCTGGGAATTGAAATGAGCGAAACTCAGTGTCTTTGACACATGTAAAAATCGATGCAAAAATTTTCCTTCGTTGATTGCATTTGCAATACTATTCCAAAAGTCTACTCTACTGCTACCGGAAATGTTATAATACTCCACATTTCGATTTTTTCTTTGGTCTATTAATAATCACAGTTGATCGTCAGTCCACATCACAAAAAAAATTCTCAGTACGAAAATGCTACTCAACTGAGATACGCTTATTTCTTATACAATTATATATGAAAAAAGTTTATCGTGACTACATCGCACCTTCATCGCAACTTCATCGTATCTTTATTACATCTATAGCGGAGCTAGTGTCAGAGACACATATTATAAGGGGTGTAATATATAGAGCAAAATTAACCCGAATTAGCATTACGTCCGAAACTAGATAAAGAAAGGTATTAGTGAAATTTATAAATAACCAATTAACGTGTACTGAAAAATTAGGTTCCACGAATAACATGCGCTGAAAATCATTAATACGCACTGATTGAACGGTCCGATTTTGTATGTTTCACCGGTATTTAAATCATAATAATAACCTTCATCATCGTCATCAGAAAAACCACAGAAGCTCCCATCATCTTCGTTATTGAAGGAATCCTTATCATCATCATCAGAGAAATTCTCATCTGGAAGCTGGTTCACGTCAAAATCGCCATTATCATTAACGTCCCAAGTTAGAATCTAAAGAATCATCGGGTTCATCTACCTCTGCTTTTGATAAATCCTTCCCGGGTTGAGATGCAGATGATGTGTTTATCTCTGTTTCCGATAAAACCGTTTCGGTATGAGATACGGGTGGTATACTTACCTTGGCTTTTGTCGTAAGCTGACACGATGATATCGAATCACTTACCTCGATGTAAGGTGAGATTTTTTCGAGACGGGCCGTCCCAGAAATTTCAATTATATTATCTTCAGGTGTGATTTCAAGCGAAGGAGAATTAGAGATTCGGCTCTCTGAACCATAATTAATAATCTCTTGAATTTGGTCGTTAGTAAGTTCCGAGATAGAATTTGCACTATATTTCTTAATATGTTTAATTTTATCTAGACCTATCTTTTCGAATAACTTATAAATTTTTACAGCTCTTTGAGTTTTTTTGCGCAAGGTATCTCGTGATATATTTGGAAGTTGTAAGTCCAAATCTTGTGATCATTTTTTATGAAGAATAGAGAGTTGATTTTCAATTTCATTATAAATTAAGGTTCTTGCTTTTTTCTCGCCAATTTTATTTTTACTACTCATCTCACCAACTTGAAATTCAAAATCCCTACCATAAAGAGACCAGCACATGATTTCTTCCTGATTAGCCTTCGAAGCTCGATCTTCTGCGCCTATGGCTGTATCGCACAACTGAGCTAAATGTTGTGATACCTCATTAATGTCGAATGAATTAACAATACACTTTGCAGAATCATCCACGCTCTCAAATTTTTCGGGACAGACTGTCTCAGAAATTTCGATCTGTCCTGGTTTATTATTTTTTGATATAGAGTGATCTTGTGAACTCGGCTCTAAAGAAGTATTGAACAATTCTTGCTGGAGTTTATCTGTTCCCTTTTTCTTATGGCTAACCAAAGATAGGTCTTGATCTCGAAGCTTCTCTTCATGCTTTCTCCGCCTGATCTCATCACCAATCTTTTTCTTATGCACATCTTCTAGGAATTCATCGATCACCTTATCTTTCAATGATTTATGAGTCTTCGACTTCTGACATACACCGGAATTTGAAGCGATATCAGATATATCAGATGCGTTTTCTGACATTTGTTTAGATGTATCATCTTGCGATAAAGAGGTTGCAGAGGGTGATGCAGAGCATCGAATCTCCGATTCTTCAAGTTCCGTTAAAGATTCAGATTTTGTCGGGCTATGTTCTATTTCAGGTGAGGGATCAGGAATAATCGTTTCTTCAGATGCGATAGCATCCTCACTCTGTGAGTCGATAAGTTGCGGAATACCTTTTGCCTGAGTCTGCTTCTGTTCCAATTTCGTGACTCTGTCTCTAAGCTCAACATTCTCAGTAATAAGATTGCCGGTATGTATTTTATTTTTATTTTCTAGCTCCTCGAATCTGATCTTGAGCTCAGCATTTTCTTCTATAGCTTGTTTCAATTTTGTATTCTCGGCCTTGACCTCAGCGTTCTCCTTTCTAAGCTCGGAAATTGTGGCAATGAGTTGAGAATTTAATCCTTGCAACGAATCGATTTTTGATTGAGCAGATTGAGATTCAAGCTCTGATGACATGTTTTGTTAACAACTTTTATATAAGGTGCAGATTTATTTAAATTATCGAGTTTAAAAATCATGTATGCGCGGAACGCCGATCACTTTTGCAAAGAAAAATAAAATAAATTATTGGTGTAAAAAATGATTTCTTTATTATGAATAAATGTAAACGAGACGTAAAAATACGTGTATAGATACATGTGAGATGGGAAAACTATCTACCGTTATTCTTCGGTAAATTTTTTGATCCTAGCCTTCTTACTGGATGGGGAATTATCAACACTAATTCTATCTTTTAATAATCCAACAATAACACCTAATACTTGCTTCACGTCCTCTCTCATAGATTCTAGATCTTTTTTAAGTGCCGTTTTGGAAAGATTAATTCGATATTCACTTTTACTGGTGCAATAGATCCCATCGGTAGCAAAAACAATAAAATGCCATTCCGTGGCTAAAAATATTAAGCGATGATTAGTGAAAAATTCGGGAAAATCGAATTATTCTGAAAAATTCATATACCTACCTGTAGACACGATTCCGTAAAGATAGTCGTAATCATCGTCCCGGAAAGCTTCATCTGCTGTACGCTTCTTCTTATTGGTGTGGTAAGCACTCTCAAGTTGCATGATGTTTTGAAGGTAACCGATTTCAACATTACGAGGTTTCCCCTCAGCTATGCACATAAGATCTTCATTTCCTTTTATTGCATAATCAACACGTCCCGATGCTTCCTCACCTGAAACACTTTTTTGATATGATATATAAATTTTCTCTTCATTGGTAAGCCTTCGGACGATTGCCAACGATGCGTTTAATATCGACGTAATAAATACACAGCGAGTAGCTTCGTTGGCGTTGGTCTGCATTGTTTCCAAATTCGAAAGTCTTAGTGTTATTTCATTCATACACTGCTCAAGTGCTTTGTCGTCGTCATCGATTTCCTCAAAAACTGTATAACAAAAAAGAAATGTTAGCATATAATCTGTGTGCATTCTGTTTCGGAACGGAGATGCCAGAGCGGAGCTCATTGTAAAACAATAGAAAAAATAAAGAATCACACATACCCGGATTGAATTGTTTGATGCTCGTAATATCCTCCCCATTGACCTTAAATTTGCGGAGTACATCTTTTAATTCGTCCAGCGTTTTGTATGACGAGAAACTTCGTAATTTTTGTTCTGATATCTCTTCAATGAATTTTGTTTGAATCCAAAATTTAAAAAATCTTCTCTAGTCAATTCCAAAAAAGATAAGCCATCTATTTTTTCTTTATGGAAAATTGCGAAATCATCTTTATCTAATTTTAAATTATTCCTCTGCAAATAGTCGATAAGCTCATCGGTATCATAATCCTTAATAACATCCCCATGGTACGAGTTATTTTTTCTTCGTCAGAGTATATGCTTGAAGGTGAGGAGGGTGAAGAAGCGCTGGGTGAAGACATGGTGGTATTTTTATATATGTAAGTTGTGGTTGAAAAATCTGGTTTATGCACAGCGTTGTAAAAAGCTAAGTAATGCAATGCTTGGAAATGAAAATTTTTTGTTGTATCTGTTTTTGGGAGATTGCTGGTTTATATACATGCGACAAAAGTTACACAAACTGATCAGGAGATAGACGTATGACGCGCAGTTACTTTATTTTACGAAATACATTGCCCGTAATAAGGCAGATACAAAAATAAAATTGCGAATATACATATCACTGTTATATAATATGAAAAAAAAATCCAACTATTCTTTAGGACGGTCTACAAAGAGATCAATGCGAATTTCTGTCTTATGCTCAATCATTGTGTTAGGAAAATGGCTAGAAATCGAATCAGTGCCAGATAACTCCAAGCCATATTTACCATCACTTTTTACTTTACACATTTCAATCGTTTTTTTATCTGATTGTGTATAATTCGACTTGTAGATATTGATATCAGATGCTTTCATTCCACCAAATAGATCATCCCTTTTTTCTTTGATTCTACATTTGAGGTGAAAGATTGTGTTATCATCATCATGAGGTACTATTTCAAAAAAATTATCATATATATTCGATTGAAAAAATAACCAATAATTTACTAGATTCAAACTTGGCCACATCTATGAAGCGTGTGAATCGTATTTTTCAGATTCCGGGTTGTCCTTTTAATTTCTTTACCGAAATCATCATCCAATCTTCTGGGTAATGGAGGTGCAGGAGGTATGTTGTGAAATATTCCATGACGTCTCTTTTGGTGCTTATTATCTTCAACATCTGAAAGAATTTTTTAATCATATTCGTGATCTCATCTATTGATAAATCGGACCTAGGTGAGTTATTTTTAGTAGGGCTGGCATTATTGTTATTGTCTCCAATTAATGGGATACTCATGCCATCTATTACAATTTTAGCATGGTGGCTACATGTTTCAGAAGAAAATCCAAAGCTTATTTTTGCTTTATGCATCCATAACCATTCTTGTCCTAACACTAGATCAAATGGTGGATTTTTACGAATTTGAAAATCTATTACTTCAGTATCATCTAAGCTTCGCCACTTTTCTTTATACTGAAATTGCAAATCTAAGCATTTTATTTCTTCACCTATCAAATCATCGCCAGATAAACATTCCAACCCATAATCAGAATCAAGCTTATTAAATAAGCGATCACTAATAGTATTGGATTTAGATGTTATATTGATTAACGCTTTAACTGGGATTTTTCTTTCAACAAGAATATTAACGAACATTGGTAAAATAATTATATTATACACTATATCTTTAGCCAAAAAAATATCCCAGTTCGAATAATTACTCATTCTCCACTACTAAGTAAAATTATTTGTAAACCATGAATGATTAGGATTAATCCTGCCAATCTCTCTGATACAATTACTGAACGCAGAAATAAAATCCGTTTCATCTAATAATGTACCAGTAAACATTGGAATAGATGGAGGTAGATCAGAATTGGTCCATTTTTCATTCGAATAATCAGTATATTCGATTTTAATTTTTGGATTAAGTTTTTTCATTACTTCTTTGTTAATTTCGCAAGATAAAATTCTCATCGTGTTTTATTATAATAATATAATTAAATATATTTTTTTCTGTGTATTAATAATAAATCAATTAAAATCCAATGGTTAACAATAGCCGTGAAATAGTTGCCTCTGGCAATAATAGCTCGAAACTAGTATCTAAAATTGTTAAACAGATATCACATAGAAGAATTTTGATTTCTCTTCACCAATTACTGGAAATAGTGAAACCCGAGATTGGATTAGAAATTATTGACTTAATAGCGAATCCGAATATTTCTCGAAGAAATCATACACTATCTGAGGCTAAAAGAAAATGCAAAGATAGAAAAAAACTAATTTTTAACGATATAGCATCTGAGTCCTCATCTGGGTCTGAATCGTCTAATGATGATGAAGATTTTACTGTGGATGTGGTAAAAGTAAAGAAGCGTAATTAGTTATCATCATCATAGAGATGGAATGGTCTTGCTTGCTCTGGAGTCTGTCCTTTTTTTCCGATATAGGTAATGATTCCATGAAGCGTAATCTGAATTTGAAAATAAAATAATGGGATACAGTAAACATTGAAATGGAGGTTTGGTTACCTATAGCAAATTCAGATTACTTTATTTCTAATCTTGGGCGTGTCAAAAATAAAAATGGTAGAATTTCAGAAGGAAGTGTTTTGAAAGGACATGGTTATATATGATCAAATATTAATATCAATGGAGTTAGTACCAAACCTTATACCCATATACTAGTTGCGCAAATATTTATTTCTAACCCAGAAAAATGATCTTTTGTTAATCATATTAATGGAATTAAGACTGATAATCGAGTAGATAATTTAGAGTGGGTGACTCCCAAAGAGAATGCCAATCGCAAAATATTTTCCAATCATGCTAGTCGTGGAAGATCTCGAAAAGTTGTGCAAAAAACATTAAATGAAGATATTATTCAGATTTGGAATTCAGCAAAACTCGCAGGTATTACACTTAATATTAGTAGTAGAAATATTGCCACATGTTGTAGAGGAAAGCGGAATTTTGTTGGTGGGTGGTGTTGGATGT